GGGGGGGGGGCGCATTGTTGGGGTCTGGGCTGTGGGTGGGCTTTGGGCCTTGGGGGCGGTCAGTGTTGGGGCCGGTGCTTCGGTTCCTCCTGGGCTGTTCCGATTCTTTTAATCTAGGTTCCTGGTTGCGATGGCCGGCACTCTGACCGGGGTGGCTGCCGGCTTTCGGCAGGGGGTCGGCTATGGTAGTGTACGTGTGGTCATTGGTGGTGTAGGGCGGCGGTTGGGGGCGTGGCTTCGCCTCATCCGGGCACTGGCTGGTCTTCCTGTGTGGCATTTGCAGTGGGGGTGCTGTGTGTGTGGGGGGGTGCATGGGTGGCGTGCTGGGGCGTCTCCGGGCCTATGGTGCGGGGCTCTTGATGTGAGAGCCGGCCCTCCTCGGCTGCGGCTCCCTGCTGCTCTGCCACTTGGGCTGGGGCCGGCCTGTGGTCGCTGTCAGGTAGATGGTGCATGCGGTTGGCCCGACAGAGATTCTGTCGGGCTATCTGTGTGTGCCTGTTGGTTGCTCGGGTTAGGTTTTTGGTGGTCCCCCCTCTCTTGGATCAATTTGGGCCCCACGTTTGGTGTGGGGCCCACTCCCCCCGGTCGTGCCCCCCTTTGGCGGGGGACTCCCTTGCCGCCGGTGCATTGGTGGCTCTCGGTGTCTGGGCTGGGTGGTGGGGTGCACGTCGGTCCGCCCTGGTTGCTGCCTGGCGGGGCCTGGGTGCCCTGGCTCTGTCGGGGCTCTGCTAGGGGGTGGTATGGCCTCGGGGCTTGGGGCTCGGTGTCCATGGCCGGATCTACTTGGGGGGGGCATGGGTCGCTGGCCGGGCCTGTGGGCTCGTCGTTGCAGCTTCCTGGAGGCTCTGCATTGTGGTGGCTGGGGTCACCCGGTTCTTTCCTCTGCTCCTCTCTGGGGGGGTGCGGTTCTCCCTGTTGGGAGACTCTTGGGGCTCCAGGCCTGTGGGCCGCTGTGTGTCTGTGGCTCCGGTCCTCCCTATGTTGCCATTGTGTCCTGGGGGGGCGGGTCTGTGGGCCCCCGCGTCCACTATTGGGCATTCTTTTGGAGAAATCTGGTGGTGGTGGGCGTGCTTGCGCGGGTGTTTGGATTCAGGTGCTTTGACAGATGCACGCTAGGTTGGGTAGTGGCGGAAGCTAGATGATTCCTTGTGCGATGTCGAATGTTTCATGGTGATATTGT